TTTCTGGGTACTCTGCTAAAATTCACTTACATAAATCTCATTGATGGCAAACCTAGACGCGAGGTTATATAAGACTCCAGGCTCATGGAGGTAAGCTAACTTGGTCATATCATCTACCCCTGCTGGGGGTGCCTCCGTGTCTTTGGGGTATATGCTTGAAATAGCTGCAACTATCTGAAATTTAAAAATAGGTAAACAAATGTTCAGGCTACATTCCAATCTTCTGCATGTTTGAATTTGCTCGGAAACTGGCAAACTAAGAGTCATATCTATTTTAGACCTTGTTTGAATTGATGGATTACGAGTTGAGAATTTCTGTTCCCTAATAACATCTTGGGGTTGTCTGGATACAATTACTACTATACAAAGTATATTTTAGTCCTTGGTCTGCTTTGTGAATCATTTTGGAGGATTTAAATATCCATCTTGGATTGAGTTATTTGAAATTCCCACCTCAAACACAATGTTTGCATTCTTGGATTATCCTTTATTCGTTTCGGTTGTATTCAACCAATTAGGCAGTTTGGCATTGGAAGCTGCCGATTCAATTACTGTTAAATATTTTAATTTAGTTGTACCTTTTTTTGCCATGAATGCTTTTCATATAAATTTGTGGAAGTCGTCGTCATGTAGAATAAAATTGTGGAATGATAAATTTGTCAACAATTAAACATTCGTCAAAAAGTGTTGATGGTCATCCAGTTTAGACAAGTTGTATAGGACAATAAAGCTAGTGATTTTTTTTTTTTAATTTTTTATTTTTTGGGTTGTGTGCAATTAAAAATAGAAGTGGCAGTGACTTACGGTTTTTCCGGTTGTGGTGAGTATGACTGCATCTGATCCTTTAATTTCTGCTACTTCACCTTCAATCCAGGCGAGTTCAGGATCCTCGGCCCACACATGGGATCCAACAATTATATTTACAGGTGTACCCTGAATCATGTTAACATGCAGAAAAAATCTTATTTGTCAGGTTATAGTTGCTGCAAATGCATGTACACCTGAACAATAAAGAGAAATGCAGAGAGAGTCACCATTTTTCCGTGCAGGCTATGTTATGATCATTGACTACAGAATGAGAGGAGACTGCTATGTCTTATGCAGTCTGGAGAGTGAAAAAGTAAGTTGGCCAAGAGAGAATCAGATTGGTGTAATGTAATAGGATTGCTGCTGAGATTGGTGTAATAAAAAGTAGCAAAAGAGTGCAAGAAATAGGTATCATTTCTATGCACACAACAGAAGCAGAGGTAATGAAGGTGGTGAAAACTCAAAAGCTAAAGGTGTACCCCCAGCCTGTCTGAGTCTGACTCCTTT